TGAAAAGGAATGAGATTACCAACAGTAACCGTCCCATTTATCATTTGCGGGGTAATGAGAGAAGGAGTAAAATTTAACTTATTGGCATCCCATTTGAACCAGATCCTTCCAGAGGCAGATAGATTAAAGTTATGAACACTGGCTTCATTTGAAAACAGTTGGTGGGAGGAATAAAAAAAGGGGTCCTGAAGAGAAGGGGCATGAATGCGAGTTTCCAGCAGACAAAATAGATCAAGCTTATGAGAATTAATAAGCCTTTTACAACTAAGGACTTTTTCAAGCCGGTTAAAACCTCTAACATTCCACACACCTATGGAAGATAGAGACATTTAATTATTGGTTTGAGATTGGGATTTTTTACTCTGCTTTCCCTTTGCAGATTTTTTGGAATTATCAGAAGTAGTTTGTTTTTTGCTTTTACCCAACTGTTTCTGTGAAGTTCCTACCTCATAAGAGCCTTCTGCCAAACAGTCTTGCGACTCCAGTTCATATTGAGAGTTAAGGATCTCAAATTTATTGGGTGACGTGATGCTCGAAATAGGTTTGGAAGAGTTGTTTAACTGAGATGTTGAAGATTCAGAAACTTCTTCAGTAGGAATGTTCAAATTTGGAATATTAGCTACTAAGACTTCAAGCATAGGATCATCCTTGTGAGGTTCTGATTGTGGTGACTTTGCAAAAGGTTGGTTCTCAACGGATTTAGAAGAAATCTGGGCTTTATCTTTATTAATCATAGATTGTGGAGAGTGTGCTATTGGTGTGAAGAGGGATAGAACCACAGATTATATTATCTGCTGTAGAATTAGAGACTTTATCCTTCAAAACAGAGTCTGATCGTGGGGGTCTCGAGGATGAAGGAGGTCTTGAAGGGATGCGATTTACGGGTTTTTTACTGCTACTCCTTCCACGGTTTTTCGGAAAATTTGGTCTAGAATCCGTCCCTACCGTGGAAGGATTCGTAGGACAAGAAGCAGAATAATGAACTAAAGACTTACAGTGCTCACAAGGTACCGGCCTCCATTCGTATTGTACCTTTAGATCAACCACATCGCCATCCAGAGAAACTTTTATCACGTCAGGATATGATGCGTTGCAATCCACAAGCACACATACACGATCAAAAGTCAACCGGGTCTTTTGCTCCGTGAGATGATCAGCAGCCAACGGAACACCGATTTTACTAGCGATTCTAGAGATCCCTTCCGAATTCCAACAAGCCAGCGGCAAATCATGTATTTTAACCCAGATAGGAACCCATGAAAAATTTTCACGCTTCGGTTTAAACTTTGGATGCCATTTTTGAAGAACAAACGGCTTCCCAAGTAGAAACCAAACCCCTTTAGACCAAGCCATGTCAAAGTCTTCAACGCAGGAAAACCGCAAAAGAAAGAAACCATCACTAAGCGAGAGTAGCTGGAGTGCACCTTTAAGCGACCATGTTTTGTTAATCGCTCCTAACAGAGCTTCATAGTAAGGTCTTCTCCCGATAGAGTAACCTACCAGACACAGATTCCAATCTTCGCCGCCCTCAGTAAGTTTCTCATTAGAGAAGGGAATAATATCAGGCTCTGAAGGGTGGTGAGAAAAGCTGAAGACTTTAGGAACAGAGGAGGCGTCCGGAGCAAAAATCTGGTTCCAGTTGCGCAAGGTAACCTGGGCAGCTGCACCAGATGAAGAAAGAGGAGGAAAATCCGAGCCTTGGAGAGAAGTCTCCATGCAGAAGAAGCCTCCGGCAGAGCCGGAGGGGCGGCGGCGGAGGAGAAACTTAGCGAAAAAAGCGAGGAAACCCTAGCAGAGCAAAATCGCCTCGCACTTTCCTAAAATATCTCCCGTTTTTCTTCTGTGGTTATAATCTGAAAAATAAAACAATGAAAAACTATCCAAAATGAAACATAAATGCGTGAAGATCCATTTAAAAACTTCCACAATAGAATTAATACTAATATAGGAAGATAGACAATGAAATCATTTTTATTGAGAAAATGTACTATTAACACATTGAGAGATAATATGAGAGAAATTTTAATTTATTTTTGTTTCAAATTGTAGGAAAAAGTACAGATTTCTAGATACTAATTATCAATTATGAGATCTACAAATGAGAAAGAATTTAATACATAATTAATGATAATAAAAAATAAAAGAATTATTGAGATGAACAATTACTCTATGATTAATATAATTAGAACACAAATAATTGAGGCATACAAACAGTTGATAATCTCAAAGAGAGGCAGATGGTTTGTAAATGTTGAATTTTGTTAAGTGCATTGGAGCAAACCTTCAGGAACATTTCTAAAGGCGCATCGAAAATTGCTTCCACCTCTGAAACATTGGCGACAGGTTTGAATGATCGCCAATCAGAGAGTATCCCAATCACAGGAACTACTCTGTGAAGTTTCTGCAAAGAAAACGACGAAATGCGTTTAGAGTTTGAAGAGAATTCATGGCAAAAATGAGAGAATTGAGAGTCTTATGGACGAACCCGACCCAAAGGAATTTCGGGATTAATTGTACCTTGGACAAGAATGGCTCGAGGACTGTGACGACGTTCACTAGAGAAGGATTTAGCCCGATCTCCTCCTCAGCTTCTCGCAACGCCGTTGCTACGTCGTCGGCGTCGCCTTCGTCTGCTTTGCCGCCCGGCAGTGCCACCTCACCTGCATCTAAGATCCGTTAATAGGCGGAAGAACGTCGCCTTTGAAAACCCTAAACTCAGATCTCGAAAGAGGAATGGAGGAGAAAAAGCAGAAAGAGAGAGAGAGAGAGAGAGACGACCGGAGTGGGAAGAGAGATTGGAGGAGCGTTTGGTGAGGAAGACGCGGAGGTCGCCGTGATCGCCTTCGAAGAGACAGACGAGGACCGCGGCTCGCTTGTCTTGGGACTTGAAAGCGGGAGGCATGGGTCGCATGGCGGATTCACCAAGGCCCATTTGGGAGAAAACCTTTCCCCTCTCGTCGACCTCGTCGTCTTCATCGCTGACACCGCCGCCGAAGCGCGGGGCTTTGTAGAGGCGGAGTTGCTGGATAAGGTTGTTTAGGTTGCGGGTTGGCCCAATGAGATTGTAAGAGTAGGAGTTGCTGGAGGCGGCCATGACTAAACTTCGCAGACTTGCTGCTATCATCTAAGACTGCCTTTGCGGTACAAGGATTTGGATGTTTTTCTATATATATATTTTTTTAATTTCCAACGTTCTCCGAGGAAAGTTCTAAAAATTAAATAGGTATGAAAATATATTCTTCTCAATAAATCATCCAATTTCATATAAAAAATTCTGATTTAAACTCATTGGTTGGTCGAGTTTTCTAACTAATTTAATTAATGGATGGGGTTTTGCTTGTATGCTAACCCATTTTTTACTCAAAGATGACTCTTTTAATATTTTTTTATTTATAGATATAAATTTTTTTAATTAAATATAGTAACCATTATATTAATAAATTGTCAAAAACCTAACCAAAACGGGTTAAGTGGTTGGCTTCAAGTTATTTGGTTTGTTAGTGAGTCAGATTTTGGTTGATGTTTTTGACTTATTTATTAAATGGGTTGGGTTCAAGCTCGGGTTCATTGGCTTCATATTAGGTCAATTTCAATTCAGAATTGAATTTGGTCCATCAACCAGTTTTGACAGCCCTACAACTCGGGTTATTATTCAGATGATAGTTACAATATAAGCCATAATATGATTACTAATTATAATAATGATCATTGACATCAATATCAATTCTATAGATTAGTTTTTAATAGAATTATAACAATAAAACATTATAGCTTATGAACAAATGGCACAATATACATAATATTGTAATTATCAATTGGATTGAATTTGATCGAAATTAAGGGTCGTAGATGGCAATTAATTATAGAATACATTATTACAGCAATTTAGTAATTAATAGACATTAATTCAGTAATGAATAGAATAAATTTCACATTAATAAAATAACTATAATTATATTATAATAATTGAAATGGAAGATTGCAATTTTATTTGAACAATTAAAATTAATTAATTAAAAATTAAATGCCACAGCTTGACATAGAAGAAAACTCATGTCCCTTACATAATTATATGACAATTAATGAATTCGTTATTACAGTAATGTGGTAATTAACATTGTATATTTGACATTAATAAAATAATTATAACTATAATAATTAAAATGAAAGGTTGTTATTTATTTGAATAATTAAAATTAATTAAAATGGAAGGCCGCAATTTGATATGGAAGGAAACTCAAATCCTTCTTATAAGTAGATGCCAATTAATGAATAAATTATAACAATAATTTAGTAATTAATAGTGTATATTTGATATTAATAAAATAGTTATACGTATAATAGTTGAAATGAAAAGTTAGGATTTGATTTGAATAATTAAAATTGATTAAAATAAAATGCCACAATTTGACATGGAAAGGGAAGCTCAAGCCTATAAAAATAGCATAGATTTACATGTTTGCCTATCCTCGGAGTAAATGTTGGGCATTCCAAAAGGTTTGCTTTGTTCATTTTCTCCGTGATTATAAGCATCAAGTTGCCCCATCTCCATTCTTTATGCTTTACCAATTGAGTAACTCAAGCCATCGAAAGTAGGCAAATCCTTATTTAATTTCGAGCATGACAAATCCTTCTCAAAACCCCCTAAATGTTATGGTTTTATTTTTACATGTATAATCATAATGAAAGAAAATAAAATTATTTTATTCTAAATCATGTTTTCTATTTGTAAGCAACTAAATGAGGAATGACGTGGTTTCTTGTTTTGCTCAATATAATAGAGATAGTATTTGTACACCCATATTCATTTTAATGGAGTCATCTCTATAGCTTGAACCCAATTCAACAAATTCTCTGACCAAGAACCAAATCTAAACTTGCTTGAAAGTCTCAAATTGTACAAAACTAATGATATATATATATGAGATTGCAGCCTTAACTTTTCAGCTTTTGATCTTTTTACTAGTTTTTTTTTTTTGTATTTTGTTTAGTCGCACACAATGGAGGCCAATCCAATTAATGATCGAAAATTGAAGATTGCAAGAAACACTATTAATATTGTCATTGTTGGGAAGGTTGGTCGTGGCAAGAGTGCAACTGGAAATAGCATTATTGGAAGCAAAGTCTTCGAAACTGAGCGTGGCTACTGTTCCAGAGTAACTTGTTCTTCTGATCTAGAAATAATTATCTGTAATGATGGCCATATTATTAATGTTATAGACACTCCAGGTAATGTTTATTGATCTACGAATACTCATTAAGTTCAAATAGTACATATTCATTTTTAAATATTTGATTTTAGAATATTATATGTATTCTATCATAACTTGAATACATAAATTGTTTGGTTTTGTTTACCTTAGGGTTGTGAAAAAATGGTTTCATGTGCTTTGAAATTTGTCTACTCTTGTTACAACAATTGTACCTTTCAATTTAGTGCATGAGATAACATTTTCATGAATATACTAAAAACATTTAATGCATTCATATAAGCATAATTAAAGAAAACTAAAAAAAAAATGTGAGGAAGGCAAGCCTCACTTGTTAAGGATAAAAATTTGTAAGAATTGTAGTTATTGAGAACTCCAAAATAGACATATAAAAAATACAAAAAATATAAATCAACATTTATTATAAAAGTTTGTGTTAGAATTTGCGAGGCTTATATATGTCCGTGTTAATTAAGCATGACAATAAAAAGGAATTGAAATGGTCACAGCTCTTTACTGGCTGTAGTAGTGAACATTTTGCTTTATCCATGCATTAATACTTACATATGTTGTTGATCTGATTTATGATATAAGTCGATGTCTAGCTTTGAGGCCTTCAAATATTCTATAGTTTGATTAGTCATTGATGGTTCAATTAGTTTTTCATGGTTGTTGGCCACTTCCACTTATGTCAGATTTCAAAACCCATCTACTTTTATGTGTACCTCAAGAGGTACATTATATGCTATTGCTTCCATGACCATAAAGCCATCTCCAATTGTTTAAAGAAGACTTTCTCTTGACTCGAGTGAAATGATGGAGCTTATCATTTGAATAAATTTTAGCTATACATCTATTTATTTTTTTTATAAGTGTTTTTTTTTATTACGTTTCTTATATTAGTTGAATGTGCAATGGAGACATATTAGAACTTGCATTTGTAGGATAAGTTATTTGTAGTATGAATTGAAGACCTTATACATAAGGGTGTCTTAGGGTTTTATTGAGATAAAATGAATTGTTAATTTCCTCTCATCTCTTTCCTTTCTCCTCAATCATTATCTAATTATCCTTTTTTGTCTCACTACCTCTATTCAACATGTTTATTTTGATGATAATAAACATGTGATTAGATGTTGTAATATGTTTATTCAATATTTTAGGAATCATTGGAATAAGGTTGTTTAGCTCATTATTGCAAGATAGATTGCATGGTGTGCATGCAAGCCCAAATGTTTAAGTATCCATGATAGTTGAAGACAAATGCAATGGAGCTCATGAGTTGTACACTGCAAGTTTTGACCAATAGCTAAAAAAGAATACATATTACAATTCGATTTTATCACCCTAAAATTTCCCCAAAAAATATTTTCATTCACTAAGTTATATTTGAAAATTGTGTGCAAAACTAATACAAAATTTGAATTATAAATTTGGATGTATTTTCAAATCATTAAAAATATTTAAATTTTGGAATTGACTTTTCATTGAGCTTTTAAACTTTAAATAATATCATTTTTAATACTTGGTTGAAGAATACTTTGCATCTTTTTCACTCATAGAGCCTACCCAACTCCAGCAGAATGAACAATGCCTCAAGGGGGTTTATTGAAATTTTAATATTTGATAGATGGAGATCACCATTTTCTTCCTTACATTGAATAGAGAGCATGCATCTCGGGTTTAGAATTAAAACTTAACAAACAAACTTGGTGCTAGAACCTTGCGTGATATATATTCATGCAGATGGAGTTTTGGTTGAAATCTTTGCAACTAAGTTCAATTCTAACCCCTATCAAATTAAATAAATAACATATGTAGGGGATAATTGCCGAATACTCAAAGTCTAAATTCATCCCTAACATTTCACATGAAGTAGAAAAATAGGTCAATAAAATGATGAGAATTTCCTTATTAATAGGCTTTACATAGGGAATGTAATTCACAACTATCTCATATGAGTCAATAAAAATTCAGCAGCCTATGAAGAAATTTCTTCTCTCAAAGGTGATGGATGCTTAGCAAAGAAATTGCTAGTAAGAGGCACACTTATAGTACTACCAGATAGAAATGTTTATACTATCCCTTATGGCTACACAAAGCCCATGAAAAAATGCATGGGCCTCATATGCTTGTGTTTTGGGTCATCCAAAATGCTCTCTTGGGTCTTATGCACTTGAACTAGGCCAAAAAAAAGGATTGTTTAAGTTATTTATGACGATTTGAGCTTGTAGTTTTTGGTTCAATCTCATGCATAATACATCTTTAATCCACAAATCGACTTTGGTTCATCTGAAGAGCAACCAAAGGTTTTAAGATTGTTATTAAGTTTGTCCATGGGTTGATAAAAAATTAATGATATTGCTTTATTATTAATTTATTTAGAGTTTCAAAATCATCAAATTTAGCAAGGATTTTGTTTTAGTAGCTTAAAATTCACCCAAGCATGGAAAAGAATAATGTGTGTTTGTTATATGTCGAGTTACAATCTTGAGAAAAAGCATACATTGATGCCTTGGAAGTATTTTTAGTTAAAAAAGTTCACCCTACCTTGAAATAAAGATGTAATTGGTGGTTCAATGATATTTTTGATAGAAAACATATTTTTTGAATTTTTTCAAAAGAATCGAGATATATGAGGGAAACTAATATGACTCTAAAAAGAGATTTGTATTATTCTCACTAGTCAATCAAGGATGTCAAGGTTCGTGCTCTAGTGTTATTCATATAATAAGTGTTTACCTTGATGATGGTCCTTTTAGCTCATTCTCCATTTGATGACATCAATGGTTGTGCCAACCTCTAATTATCTTTGATGCAGTTTGTCCAATTTGCATTAATTTGATCATCCTATTTAAATAAATGATATTAATCCAATAATTTAGTTTAGTTATCCAAAAACCTATTAATTTCAAATTGTGTATCAATCCATGCATCATTATTAGGGGCATGATGGTCTAACATGAATTTTAATATTAGTAGTCTTAGTTATTCATCCTTATATCAATCAAATGGCCACAATACACTCAATTGAGGAGCATTTTGATCTATAATATATCTCAAATGTGACTTGAGTCTTCTATATCCACTATACGCCCTTCCAAGATACAAAGTGCACTTTTTCCAAATGATTATGTATACCCCATCATGGGCTTTCCAAGCTACTTTTTGTCTCTCTATCTTTCCTCTAAACTTCGATTCTTTAATCTCCATTGAATTTGTTTAAGGTGTTAATCCTCTCCTACACCGATCATTGAATTGCTTTAGTTGATTATGTAGGACATAGTGTCATGTTATAGGTGATCCATCAACCCAAACTTGGTTGGAATTTAAAATCATTTTTAACCTGCAATAATTATATATATGTATATATATATATATATATATATATAGAGAGAGAGAGAGAGAGAGAGAGAGAGAGAGAGAGAGAGAGAGAGAAAGAGAAAGAAATTGTTTTATATTAAAATCTATTTTTTTATGTCCTCAATATAGTTGGGTGGATTTTGGGTTTTACTTAGGTTTTGTCTTTTGCAGACTTAACCTAAGGTTATTTAGAGGTTGGGATATATTTCTTTGTATTTTTCCCATGTTTTACCTTTCAATCATAAGGTTATGGTCATTTAAGATTTCAGAATGCAATAGACATTGTGGAAACAACATGCATTTGTTAAGCTTTCCTTTATATTATACCATACATTATTTTTTCCCATTATGTTCCTCAAAGAAGCATCGAAGTGAAAATTTTAATTAAATGAAAATTTGATTTATGGGTTTATATTATTGCAAATGAAAATTTGTGGGTTTATATTTGATTTTTCTCTTATGCGACTGCCTTATGCTTGCTGGCAGTCCCTTGTACATCAAGTTCAAGCTTGATAGATTTCCCTCTACCATTATTTAAGATGGATAAAATTTAGCGGATGAAGTATGTTTCAATAGGATTGTAAGTTTCTTGTGCCTATTTACATAAATCGTAATTTGAAGTTATTTATTAACTTTTCAATTGGCACTGTATTTAGCGATTTAACTACCTTTTTTCTTATGATTCTAACATATGAAACATATGATAGAAAAATTTTACATTCTTTCTTTATTTGTATGGATTATAATATGGTTAGTGTGTTAATAACTTAATTCTGATCATGGATTTCTTTGTAGGATTCGATTCATTTACTAGTTTTGAGCTAATAAGGGAGGAGATAATCAAAGGCATTAATTTAGCCAAGGATGGTATCCATGTAGTACTCATGGTATTCTCCCTTAGATATTGCTTTTTAATAGAAGAGGAGTCTGCCATTGAGTGTATGAAATCACTTTTTGGGGATAAGATTGTTGACTACATGATTTTAGTTTTGACTAATGGGGACTTCCTGGAATCTATGCAAAAAAGCTTGAAGGAACTTATTAGCCTTTTCCCAGAACCTTTGAGGGTTTGTATATTTCTTTTTATAATATTGCCTACATGGTTTTTGTATTTATTTTTTCCTGATAATATTAATTTCCATCTTCAACATCTTGTTCTTAGACTTTCTTGAGGGCAAGAATATTTGCTAAGTGTAAAATCAAAAAGCACACTATGATTGTGATATGTTATATTAATATGTCAATATATATATAATAGCAAAGGTAAGCTGCATAAAATAGCAATACATTACTTAATTATTTATGCAACATACTCTAACCCATTGTCTTATAAGCCATTGCTTTATAGTAATGTAACATGTTGGAACTTTATGCGACAAAGAAGCTGATGTATATGAGCGTAATGTAACAACTTCTTAAAATAAGCAATACAAATATAAATAGTTTCTAAATTTGGGTCAATATAGTCCCATATTATAAATATGATCAATTTAGCCTCTTAGTACTAGAATGTAATTTAAAGTTATCTCTGTTGGATTATTTATGCATCCAATTTGTGGAGTCGAGGGTTAATTTTAGATCAAATTGGAGTAATCAAAGAACTAAATTGGATACATTAGATAGTTTGGGATTAAAATGGCTCTTATAAATAGTTAAAGGGTTACTTTGATTTTTTTTTTCGCTATTTTTAAACTAATTATGTACTTGTATATTTTTTACTAATACATGCAACAATTGTTACCTATTCGAATTCATGACACTTATTTCCAATTATTCACACAAACTATCCCTATCTTTTAGTATATTTAGCTTGCGCACTGCTTTTTAAATTTTATTTAGTTAAAGCTAAATTTGATGATCAAATATATTGACCCAACCCACATTTCCAAATAGTAGTGTACCTTGCCTCTTCATTAGTCCATTCATGTGATCAGAAAAATGTAATTTTCCATTGGTTGCAAGCACATTTTCATAAACTAAATTTGGTTACTATCTTTGTTGATCCATGTATTAGAAATATGCCTTTATTATTGTTTATGATTAACTTTATTGTTCAAAAGTTGAATTTTGATGCAAGCTAAGTGAATTTAGATATTTCATCACTAAATTTGGTTATATCATGTGAAGATTTTGTTACTCACCCTTAATGTTCACTATCTTAGTTTATTTTGTTATTAGAAATATGCTTATCTATAGTTTACAATAAACATTGTTATTCAAAAGATAAACTATTTAAATGAATATGGTCATTTTAAATCTTTAAACCTATTTTGATTTCTTTCATATGGTACATTTATTTTTCATCCTCAATAATTTTCTTGCAGAACATCATTCAACTATTCAAGAATAGAGTAATTGTTTTTGATAATACCACCAAGGATATGATCAAGAGAGAGGAACAAGTAAATGAGCTGCTCTCTCTTGTTGAGTCTGTTATTGTGGACAATGGTGAAAAACCATATTCATATAAGATTTTTGCAGAACTCAAGGTATGTCATCTCCTTGGTTCATACTTTATAATTGGCACTATGATAGATTAAATGTTTGAATTTTTTTTGTTGATATCACTTTCATTAGGAATGAGCTTTACTTCAATACAAAAAGTTTAAAGATAACTTGATGCAAACATGTCATTCATGGGAGGGATTTAAAGTAGCAATAACCTATGTATACAAATAAACTTGCACACGATATATTATATATATATATATATATATTATATATATATTATTATATATATAATTAAAATATATATATAAATATTATATTATATATATATATATATATAATATATATATATAATATGCCGTAACTTAATGACCTTATTTTTGATTTCATACAGGCTAAAGAGCGAGCTGCTCAGCTGGAGGCTGAAAGGCTTGGCTAAGAATCACTGTAGGATGAGAATATTCGAAAGCTCATGGAGGAACTCAATGAGATTACAAAGAGAATTGAGGAGTTCAAGAAGCGTAATGCTAAAGGCAAAAAGTGTTTTTTTCTTTATGAATGTGGTATCTTGGTAAACGAAAAAAAAACAAAATTATAATCTAATTTGTTTTAAGTTTTATAGGGAAAGCATAACTTTATTTATATAATTTCGTTTGCAAGCTTGCTACAAACTATTTGTCATTTACCATTATAGCTACTTTGTTTCTATATTGTCACTATCAAGATAGGCGCTGTTAGACACCAAAAATTTATAATGCAAGTTATTTTTCATTATCATAATATATTTTTCTTTCTACACCACGCTTTAATGTATAAATCATTACTTGTCATGACTCATACGATTCATAAATTTGATTTGAATTTTCTCAAACTTCAGTGTAATTCTCAAATATGAAAGCACTCAAAACTCTATTAGGCAAAAAAATAAAGAAATTAAATTTAAGATATTCTTTTTATTTTTACTGTATTTAATTTTGAGATAATATGTTATAAGATCAAAATTAAAGTTTCTTTTGGTACAATTTTCTTATTTCTTTCTGTAACATCTTTCTAGCACAAAAAATTCTTGAAAACATTGAAAAAAGCAATGACCAAACGCTTAGTTTGAATGCCTAAAAATTATAATTTAAATGACAATACAAATATGGTAAGTCTAACTTTTCATAATTCTAAGTTTAATAAGGCATTAAAACGTTTGGAAAATGTGAGAGAATTAGATAGACTTATTGAAAGAAATTGTCTAATATTATACAAAAATTTAATAGATCGATTAAAATTCTATAAAATGACATATAAAATTCAATTGTTTTTCTCTTTGCATCAACTTCATATAAAATATCTTGAGATCCTATCAGCTTTTTTTTTACTTCATTTATTGTATTCTTGTATGATTGTTCATGATCAAAATATCTCTTTATTAATCTAGTTCTCTCACATAATAATTGATCACCAACGCTCCTTAGTGTGAGATCATAATCTTTTATAATAGTAATATAAACTAAATTGTATTATAAATAAATCATTTCATTGCTATGTAATTCATTAATTAAAAACAAGATTTCACTCGCTATGGATAAAGATATTTTTTAACACTTTTCTTATCATTATCCTAGAATAAATAAATGAAAAATCACAAAATGTAGGATTCATATATATCATTATTTTGAAAAAAATAGTTTCTCAAAGTCATTGTACCGCAAATACTTTCACAATTTTTATCTTAATCTTTTCGATTCTTAGCTCATGTTGATTTATACAATTTAATCTCTCTCAATGTATATATAAGACTAAAATACAATAAACCATGAGATCAGTTGGACTTAGTAGCTCCACCTAGTTGCCAAAACAGTACCATCCATTGGCGGCATAAAACCATGCAACACAAAGATCCAAATAGCACTAGAACGAAAAGAACAACCACCAAGGTTGCTAAGCCAAGCCCAGGCCATTTAGGGAGGTGAACGATGAAATTGCCTCATCATTGTTCGATGTGTCAACCAAGCAACGGTACCTAAAACAGCTAGCCAAAACCCAAAGGCGGAAGCAACACACCAATTACGCTATCAACCTAGTAACAGAAACCCCACAAACATGCAACCAAAACCGCAAAATAAAAAAAAAAAAACCTGAGAAGCCAAAAAAGCTAGCAAAAGGGCCTACTTCTTTTTTTATTTCTTTTTGTTTTTCCGCCTACATCATTTAGTATGCCTAATGGAAAGGGCTTCATCCTCTATAGGAGCCACATTTAAAACAAACAAATCTTGAAAATAATATTTAGACTTATACATTTCATCCCCATTAACCCTGCCATCCATGGAGGATCAATGCTCCAACCACTCGGATTGAACCACACCAAAAACGTTCGAACTTAAAGCCATATGGGCATTCAAGGCATCATTATCAATAAGAGAAATAAGCACATCGATAAGGGCCACATTATCATTCTCAATCCTAATATTAGGCGACAAGGTTATTTTAAATAAATGATTGATAACTACATCGACTAAGTTCACATGACAATAATCCTTTTCCATAGATAAAGGAGAACTAGCATTTCAATGCCTTCATCAGTGACTTCCACAACCACTTTAATTATTATGTTAGCATCCAATTTATCATGTTGAGAGTGTAAAATCCGACATACCACTATCAAATGGCCAAGAGATTTGCAATGAGAATAATAAAATAGACAATCCTCTACCATAACTGATGATTGTATGTAACCAAAATTTTCAGGACCAATTCAGATCCTATCGAGGTAATGTTTGGTGATATCAAGCTCAATTAATAAAACTTGAGTAACAGAGGGCCTAGACCCACATGAAGTGGATTATCTATTTTAAGTGGCCGACCAAACATGGTCCTATAATGATTATTATTTTGGAGAAAAGGTGTGGCCTTAAATTAGGGAATGAAATCCAAATCGAGATGATTGGGGATTCCACCTCAATATCAAAAGAGGAGTCCATTTGAAAATTTTCATGAAACAATTGCTCAAAAATATGAACAGAGAAAGAATATTAGAGAGAGAGAGAGAGAGAGAGAGAGAGAGAGAGAGAGAGAGAGAGAGAGACTTAGGTTAGTGGTGGTGGGAATGGTTGTATTGGGAAGACATGCTAAGCATATTAGTAATTTTGATATGAGAAAATATTTTCATTAAAGATAATGTGTCTTTCCTAAGGTGCGTTTAAAGTAGCAGTAACATTTTTGAGATTGTGCATAATATATGAACATGTAAGGGGCGAATCATGGGGTTAGTTTGTTGTGGAATAAATTCAGAGAGAGAGAAAAAGTAGTTGGAGGAGGCTTGTGAAGATGTTCATTTTTGGACAACGACTTGACTGTGATAGATGATAAATGATTAAATAAGATAATCCGTAGTGAGAAGATTATCTATCTAGAATAAATGAGGTTGATGGGCATCAAGAAGGAGAGTATTTATGGTGTCGATGATGCGCAGCTGTTTGTGTTTGGTAAAATCATTTTGCTTAAAGGGTTTAAGAACATGTATATTGATGATGAATACCTTACATGGAGAGGACATACTTGAAATTATGGTTCAAGAATTCACCATAACTATTAGTATATAGGGGGATTTAATATGTTGTTGTTAAGATTCTTGAAACAAATGAATTTATTGACTATCATTTTTTTGGCATGAGGTAGAACCAACAGTAGTGAGAGCAATCATTGATGATATTAATAACAATACATAGATACATTGACAAGGATCCCCAAACTTCTAAATAAATAAATACTAGAGATTGAAAGCTTTGAGTGAGAAATATGGAGAAAGTAATTTTATCCCTCTTTGATAAGTGACAAATTCAAGATTGCTTTATTAAGTGAATATTGGTTTTAAAATGTCATTTATCTTGGGAAGAGATGATATAGCTAATGCCATATGGTAAAAATGAAGATGCTAGAGATCTTTAACTTAGTTAAGAAAAGGAAAGGGTGCTTAAGGATACTTCGCTATGGTGAGAGAGGCTGACATTACTGAGACCTTTATGGCATTGTCCCTTAAAAATGATGTGATTGGTCTTCAGATTGACAATGGTGTAATAAGTGACAATAAATAAGATAGAGCATGATTGTCATTAGCGAGCCCATGGATAGAAATTGTACTATTTTAGGAACTTGAAGAGATTAGATTAGTGAAGCATACTGGTGGTGGTTAGCAAAAAGTCTTAGTTGTATGTCGATATGGGAAGGGTTGGGTCATTCTAAAGCATAACCCGTTGTGTGTCTTGGTGAGGTTGCGAATTGTGAAGAATGTTGGGCTTTAAAATAAAATGCGATGTAGAATTTGTGTCAAGATAACATTTATCATTAGTGCTTGCCAAGCTAGAAATGAGTGCTGATTGTTTGGGATATTGGCCAGTATAGGAGAGGTGTTGCCTATATCAGTATTTGGTGGTTGAATTTCCTATTTTTTATAGATTTGACAAATGAGAGATGGAGGGGTGGTTGAACCTCCTTCTTGGAGGGAATGATCATTAGGAGGTATTATGTTATTGACTACCTATGTTGTGGGGATGGAATGGTCTAGAGCGACCCTTGCCCCTAGTAGTAGTGAGGGTTATTGGAACCTCATTGAGTAGAAGCGATTGGACATCGCAAGATGCCTCAATGAGTAAATTTATTTCCTCACAACATAGGAGGAAGTAGAAGTTTTATAGGTGTAAGGTTTGAGGGTTACTTTTAATCATTATCTTGAGTGATTGGCAGGCGGGCGGGAGATTGTTTAAGGTGCGAAGGATGATGTCTTTAAGATCTAGTGGTGTTTTTGTTGAAGTAATATCGCCTACATTAGATTTAATGGTGGATAGGAACATTTGCATTGTTTTATCATTCGTGTGGATGCAATTTAACCATGCTTTAATTAGAGAAGATGAGAACAATTGGTAGATTGAAGTCATTTCTTAATGGTTGTTCGCATTTTGTGTTAAGTGATAGGAAAGAGAATGTAGGAGAGGTGAGTTGGTGAGATGAACCAATTATAAGGTCACAACTAAGTTCTAATTGATGAGTATCCAAGGTTGGAAGCAGCAAGTCTTCTTCTTGGAGTAGATGATAGGGAGGACAAAGAGTTGTTTTGGTTGGCTATCCATGTATATGATGGAGAATCGTGTACATATATTGAGTGTTGTGGTGACAATATTATTTTAGACTATTGGTTAGGATTTTCTCAGTGGTTACATTAGATGGGTTAGGATGAGACGATAACAAAGGTGTAGAAACCATGATTTAAAAAATCGGACTGGATCGGATGGTTCAACCGTGAATCGAGCATGTGGCTGTTTCATTCCTCATGAAAAACCGACCCAACATCAAACTGGTAGGAACCAATTGTTCAACCAGTGAACCAGTCCCAATTTTAAGGAACCAACCAGTTCAACGCATAATTTATTTAAATTATTTAATTTAATTTAAAAT